AATGAAAGTCGAGATTCTGCCTGGACGCTGCCTTTAAGCTAGCTGAAGCAACACAATTTTACGACGTTGGTGGATAATGGCTGTGACACCATAAAATGATTAAATTTGTAAATTTACGCCCTCTTTGTTCACGATACCTAAAATCGAATATCGGATAGCGATCGAAGGCGATGAGTCGATGACCTTCACCCGCATCGCCAGACTTCTTTCGGAGGCTGACCCATCTTAGGTTCCACGTGCACGGACTGTGTAGTGTTGCCCTAATATTGTGTTCTTTTTTTGTCCTTATTTTATTTTTGGACCAGAATAACATCATATTATTGTAAGATAATATGATGGACGCCACCTAAATGCGTATGATCTTTCTGCCCATTTCCTTCACAATTCTGCTACCGATATTTCCCCATGCACCCTATAATTTGGTGTTTATAAAGCTTGTTGTTTCAGAGATGACATCATATTTAATCACTGGTGGACTCGGCTCCTTGGGTTCAGCCCTTATTACGCAGCTCTATAAAAACAACAATAATCGGATTACTGTGCTTGACAATCTCAGTGCACATTCGGATCTTTCACTGGTAAGTCAGGAATTTTATTTGGTCAAGTTTACGCTGAAAAATTGCTTCTCTCTTTTCGTTTTCAACCTTTCACTGAAAATATCTGTTTTTCTTTTTACAATAACAATTCTACCTGTGATGTTTTCTATTAGTTATGGTTACCAGGTGATTAATAAAGTGTAGCTTCGTCCTCGACAATATTTGACGATAAAAAATTGCCATTCTACGCGAAATTTGAAAAATTGTGCGGTAAGACCATTATTTACGCGCAAATGTTGTCGTTACCGCCAGAAGACCATATCAATGATCTAATCTGAATATGCCATTAAAAGAGGATAAAAAGAATTTGTGGAGGTTATGTGATGTTCGGAAACCTCTATGATCTTGAATAATCTGAAAATGTGTTCAGATTCCACAACATGTCCGAGACTCCGAACGTTTTACACTCGTCATTGGTGATACGAAAAACGAGCAACTCGTCCTGCACACGCTAAAGGGCAAATCTGTAAGTTTCGAATTCATTTTTAGATTTGATTGTTATCTTGATTTATTCAGGTTGACATCATTATTGACTGCGCGAGTCGCGCCAGCAACGCCATTGGTCAATCGCCTGTTGCTGGAGCGCGGAATGCCATGCAAGGTTTGACGCACGTATTGGATGCCGTGCGTCAGTACGGTCAACTCAAGCATTATCTGCTAATAAGCTGTCAAAGTGTGCGTCAGAAAA